CTCACCAACGCCCTGGAGAGCTCCAAGTCCAAGGACGGCGATAAGAAGCACCTGTCCCACTCTACTAGACTTGCCATTTTCAAGTTCCTTTCTAGCCATGTTGTTGGAACACCGCTGATTGCTGTCAAGCTGAGACTTCTGCAGTCGCTCAACCAGATCAAGAGCATCTCCGGTACTTCTAGAACCGACCTGCTCCTTTCTCTCTTGCAATGGTGGGCCCGCCTGTCTCAGGCTGAGGCTCAGCAGCTCCTTACACGGGAAGCTGTGGATGAGGCGTCTGTCAACAGCGCCTTCGTTGATGTCGTCATTGCCAACAACGAGGCTGGTCTCAGGTTGATCTTCGAACTCATCCGCGATTCTAATGTTATTACCCGCAACGGGCTCGTCCAGTCGCTCTTCGGCCGCATCCAGAAGATCTGGTCTTCCATGAAGGCTGAGACCCAGTTCTCCACCGCTCGCGCTCTGCTCACTCTTTCTCAAGCCGTTCACCCTACCTCTTCCGAGCCAGACGTTATTGCTACCGAGGCTACTGATGTCTTGCATAAGGTTGAGCTGACTACTGATATCCTGCTTGACTTCCTCGAGTCTCTTTACGATGATATCAAGAAGGCTACCGAGAAGCCGGCGACCAAGCGTAGACGTGTTGGCTCTTCCGAGAAGAGCATCGACTCGCAGAGCCCTGCCGATGTTAGCGCCAGTCTCAACAAGGCCACCTTTGTTCTCGAGCTTGTTCAGGAGTCGGAGCCTGCCAAGCATCCCGAGCTGCTTCCCAGCCTCTTCACCACCCTTTCCGAGCTTCAGCACCTCCGTACTGTTGTTGGCTCTGAACTGGGCTACCTCCAGAGCCTGGTTCTCAGTAGTCTGCTTGCCATGATGCCGGCCTACAAGGACAGCAAGGAGCTCACTATTGACCCCGCGGCTGGTCACGGTGACATCCTTGCCTCCTGTATCCAGCGGTCTTCCAGCCCCACTGTCATCAACGCTGCTCTGCTGCTGGTTGCCAGCCTGGCTCGCACTGCGCCTGATGTTGTTTTGCACAGCGTTATGCCCATATTTACTTTCATGGGCAGCTCTGTCCTCAAGCAGGCTGATGACTACTCTGCTCACGTTGTCAATCAGACCGTTAAGGAGGTCATTCCTCCTTTGATCGAGACCTTCCGCAAAAGCAGGAGGAACCTGGTTGCCAGCACTGCCGAGCTTCTCACCAGCTTCGTTGTTGCCTACGAGCACATTCCTTCTCACCGCAAGCAGGATCTCTTCATCACTCTTATCGAGAACCTTGGACCCGAGGACTTTCTCTTTGCTGTCCTTGCCATGTTCGTTGACAAGTATGGCGCTACTGATAACATGCTTGCTTTCACTACGCAAATTATCGGCTCCTTCTCGGTGGAAATCCAGCTGCAGACCCTCATCAAGCATCTGGATCTCATCAGCGACATCTTCAAGCCCAAGCCTGTCCTCTCCGCTGCTATACTCGCCAAGGTTGACTCCAACTCCGAGCAGGATGTTGTGAAGCTTGCTACGAAACAGCTTACCCTCCTCCCGAAGTTGCTCGTCAACCGTCGGCTGAGACACGAGATCTCCGGATTGGCGGAGAAGGATGATATGGAGTCCGTGAAGATCCGCGAGCTTTATGCCCAACTCCTCGAGGGCGTCCTCACCCTGGCTGGTACCGTTAAGCCAAAGAAGGACACCCTTTACACGCGCTGCGGCGAGGCGCTCTCCAACCTCCTCAACCTGCTCTCCATTGCCGAGTTCATCAAGAGTGTTGAGGCTCTTCTTGACCGTCCTAACGTCATTTTACGCCAGAAGGTCCTCCGTGCCTTGGAGCGCCGCGTGGACAGCGAGAGCATCAACAACCCCAAATCGAGGGAGGCTTTGCTTGCTTTCTTGCCCCAGCTAACGGCTGTCATCCGCGAGTCGGACGACATGAACTACAAGCACACCGCTGTCAACTGCGTCGACAAGATCGCCGAGAAGTATGGCAAAAAGGATCTCGATGCCGTTGCCGCTGCTGCCGCCACCATTGCCGGCGACAGCTGTCTTGGTCAGCCGTCTCAGGAGCTCCGTGTCATGGCTCTTCTTTGCCTTGCCTCTCTTGTGGATGTTTTGCAGGATGCTATCGTCCCTGTCCTGCCTATTGCCATCCCCAAGGCTCTTGGCTGCCTCGAGGAGAGCATCAAGGCCGAGAAGCCCGATGGTGCACTGCATAACGCTGCCTATGCCTTCATGGCCGCTCTCGCCCAGCACATTCCTTACATGATCTCGGGTGCCTACCTTGACAGACTCCTTGTCTGCTCCAACGCTTCTGCTGCCGCTCGTGTGAACGAGGAATGCCGGGCCAGCCGGACCGACTGCCTCCAGTTTGTCGCCAAGCTCATCGAGGGCAAGGTACTCTTCACTGCCCTGGAGAAGAACTGGGCCAATGCTGCTTCTTCTGGATACTTGGTAAGTCTTCCTCCTGTCACCGTCACCCTTGTTATATAAGCTAACAATCTCCAGGCTCTTGAGGAGTACCTCCACGTTCTTGGCACCGCTCTGGACAAGCACCCCAAGTCCTCCATCGCCAAAAACACCACCCTCTTCACTGGCATCTTCCTCAATGCCTTTGATCTTCGTCGCAGCGGCGTCCTCTCTTCTACCCAGGAGCTGGAAAAGATCGAGCTCCTCATCAACGAGACCTCTCTCAAGATGATCTACAAGCTCAACGATGCCGCCTTCCGCCCCATGTTCTCCCACCTCATGGAGTGGTCCACTACCGGCCTACCCAAGTCCGACTCGGCCGGCAAGGCCCAGCGCCAAGTCAGCACCTACGGCTTCCTGCAGCACTTCTTCGAGAACCTCAAGTCCATCGTTACCTCGTACGCCTCGTACATTATCGACTCGGCTGTCAAGATTCTTTCTGCGCCCCTTACCGGTGACGACGTCCTCAAGACCCTCCGCTCCCGCGTCCTTCGCACCCTCACCAAGTGCTTTGAGCACGACCAGGACGGCTTCTGGCAGGCGCCCGCCCACTTCAACGCCGTCGCGCCCGTACTGGTCGCGCAGTTTGGCCACGCCGCTGGCGCTGATAACTGCACCGAGGATTTGGTGCTCGCCGTTGTCGAGCTGGCTGCTGCCGCCGACAGCAAGGAGCACCACAAGGAGATCAACTCGGCGCTGCTCAAGCACCTGCGGTCGGAGCAGGCGGCCGTCAGGTTGGCGGTCATCAAGTGCGAGCAGGAGCTCACTGCTAGACTGGGTGAGGAGTGGCTCCAGAGCTTGCCGGAGATGTTGCCGTTTATAAGCGAGCTGCAGGATGATGATGACGAAGTTGTGGAGAGGGAGAACAGGAGATGGATTGTGGGCATTGAGGAGACGCTTGGTGAGAGCTTGGATAATATGTTGCAGTAAGGGGTTACGAGGGTTGAAGTTGGTTGTTGGAAGAGTGCATACTGTGATTCATGGTCACGGGAAGACGTTTACATGTGGTATATGATCGATGTCTTTGGTCATGTTGAAGGTGAAGGATATATCCTGAGGATGGATGGGACTATGTGTAGCATTTGCATTTGTAACTGGCGTTAGATATTAAAAAGTCATGGCTGGGTTTGGTGTGAATAGATATGCAATGATCATTGAAAGTCTTGTTGGTTGTGCTTGATTCGTGTCCTGTGATATCGTCTATTTCTCGCTCCCTGAGCATGCCTGCAGAAACTTGTCCAAACCAAGATGTGTCGCAAAGAGGAATATAGCTCCCCTACTTGGCCCTGTATCCTTCCGCTCTGGGTATCTTCTCTCCTCTCCTCTCTCCGTCACTGCGCAATCTTTCCCCAGCGGCAGCAAGCCCCCAACCTCAAACTCCTCTTTCTCCTCCCTCAACGAACGTACTTGCTCATAAACCGCCTATGGAAATCGCTCCTCAACAAATCATTGACAAACTCCTTCTTCTTATTCCTATCATCCACGCCCCTCGCCTGGTTCTTGAAGACCACGTCATCGTCCCACCTCCTCTTGACCGTAAAGTCCGGCTTGTTCAGCAGCGGGTTCCCGAGCGCTATGTCCTTCTCGCGCTGTTCTTCTTCGGCCTTTTGGCGCTCAAGCTCCTCGCGCTCGCGCTTCTCTTGACGCTCGCGACGTACGCGCTCAAGTTCCCGCTGGAGTTCGGCTTCTTCGTCGTCTGAGTCGGAGTCGGAGTCGGAATCGGAATCGGAGGAGTCTGAAGGGGCGTCGTCGTCATCTTGGTTCTTCTGGGCTTTTGGTGATTTGGCATCGGCGTCTGATTCGGCGTCGTCGTCGTCATCATCAGAAGAAGAATCATCCGCATCAATCTCCCTCGTCAACTCTAATATCCTTCGTCGCTTCGCTTCTTGGTCTTCCTCCTCTTTGTGATCACCGCTCGTCAAAGCCAATGGGCGCTTGGTTCCCGCCTTCTCGTTATCGACATCGTCACCAGAGGTAAGAGCAGGTCCGCCCCTCAACTTGGCCTTGTGCGCCTCCTCAGCAGCCAGCAGCTCAGCGCGCAGGTCGCGCGTGTCGCGCTCTTCAGATGCCCCAGCAACGCCGCCTTGGCCGGGCTTGCGGAACTTGAGCTGGGTGTAGGCGGGTAGAAGACGCTGGTGGTAGGCGGGACCGCGGAGAGCTTCTTTGCCTTTGGCCTGGTTTTGAGAAGAATGGATGTTAGTTGGCGCACGAGAGGATGGCGAGATTGGTTGGGGAGGAGGATGAGGATGAGGATGAGGATGAGGGTGGTGAGATGCGTACCGGGTCGAAGGTAGGTCTGTGAGCTGTGGTCATTCTGGCGGCTTGATTAGGTTACGCAGTTCTTTTCTTGAGTTGATAGATGATGCCGGTGCGTGAGAGATGAAGCGCGCGCGATAGAGGGCGAGATGGGCCGTGATTTGTTGAGTGGTGTTGGAAGTGGAAATTGCTGCAGAGGGAAGTAAGTTGTTGATTTGAAGCAATAGGTGGCTCTGAAGAAGGAACTGGCTGGCAGTGGTACAAATGGATCCAATGACGCCCTGGGGTTCAGTCTCGTTGGCGCACTTCTTGACCGCCAGCGGCAAAACCCGCCAAATTTTGGCGGACTTTAGTGGCAGAAACGGTGACCATAGCGACTGCAACTGCAGGACCTAACCAGTGATGTTGATTCTTTAGATCTCCAACAACGTATTTTCAAAGGGAAAAAGTAAACAAAGCTCAGTCAACATGCCCAGAGAAGCAGAACCGTCAGCCAACGAGAAGGCCTTTCTCTTGAAGGCGCTTCAAGACGAACAGATTCGCCTCGATGGCCGTGAATTCGACCAATACCGTCCACTAGAGCTCACGTTTGGAGACGAATATGGCGTCGCCAATGTATCGCTTGGCAAGACAAAGTACGTTTGTGTACTCTCACCACCACCGCCACCATCACAACACCACGCATATCCTACCCCTGAGGCACCAAGATACTAACCAGACTCCCATCTTTAGAATTCTTGCCAAAGCCTCCGCCGAAGTAACAGTCCCCTTTGCCGACCGCCCGCTCGACGGCATCTTCACCATCGCCACCGAACTCTCCCCCATGGCCGCGCCTCACTTCGAAGTGAACCGGCCCACCGAAACCGAAGTGCTGCTCTCACGCCTGCTCGAAAAGACCGTCCGGCGCTCCGGCGCCCTCGACACCGAGTCGCTCTGTCTGGTCGCGGGGCAAAAGTGCTGGTCCGTCCGGGTCGACGTGCACGTGCTTTCGCACGACGGCAACCTGACCGACGCGGCCTGCTTCGCCGTCGTCGCCGCCCTTCGCCACTTCCGAAAGCCCGACACCAGCATGGAGAATGGCGTGCTGACGGTGTACACGCCTGCGGAGCGGGAGCCGGTGCCGCTGGGCTGGCTGCACTCGCCTTTCTGCGTGACGTGGAGTTTCTTTGGCGACGAGGGTGAGACAGCGTTGTTGGATGCGGATTGGATGGAGGAGCAAGTCAGGGTCGCCAGTGTCACGATTAGTTTGAACAGGCACGGAGAGATCTGTCAGATCGCGAAGCTCGGGGGTGTACCGGTCGAGGCAGTTGCGCTACTGCAGTGTACCAGCGTGGCGCTGACGAAGGTGAAGGAGTTCTCCACTTACTTGGATGGCAAGTTGGCGGAGGACGCGAAGAGGAGGGATAAGGGTGGGTTTATGGCGGAGTTGAGGGCGGAGAATGATCGCATTGTTGGGTGAAGCGGTTGAGGACGTAGAGGAAGAAGTGAGATACCCAGGTACGGCCATGGAGCCGAGCAGAACAACAAGGCTGTGTGGTTGAAGGCGAAACCTGACGAGGATATGGGACAGCTCTACAGCTGGTCTCTGTACTTTTCTCAGTCAAAAGAGAACGGCAAGAATTGTCCAAGAGGCAAGTCACTCCGCGGAATGGGCTCTATTATTATGATGGGGGGCGCCGCGAGTGCCGTATCCTCCCTCATGTCTAAAGGGAGTTATCCCGTTAGCGGCGACCGGAATTGCTATCTAACGTTACACAGTGTATCTCGCCATTAGCTCAATCCCCAAGTCCTCATCTGCCGCTAAAGCTGCTAGATGAATGAGGTGAAAGCATTGGTGCCAGGTAACCGCAGGGTCTTAGCCTCTATCTCTAGACGCAATGAGCTCCAAACTTTAGTTTAGACCAAGCCTGATCCCCAAATTTGCTTCTACGCCACTTCCCCCAAGATCCAATCTTGTCCGAGTTTGAAGTGATTTGATCCGATGGCAGGGTAATCTCGCGCTCCGTTGTAGGTGTTTTTGGAAGAAACCGGCGTGATCATGTACTGCTCCTGGCCTAGTCCTTGAGTCTTCCAGGAGGCGGCGGAGATCCTCAACGGCGGGCAAGATCCAAGCATTGCCGAACCCCAAAGGAGGATTTGGTTCCCACATAGAATCCTCTGCCCCAGCGCTGTCGATGTTCGTCGATATTGGTCGCGAACGCGGGTCATGTCATGAATTGGTCTTTCATCATCAACCGCTCCCGCTTCTCACCGCATAACCGGCGGCCTCGACTCCTTGTTCCACTTTACCCTCGACCTAACCCACTCCACCGCCTCCCTCACGCCCGTGCCCGTTAGTGCCGACACCGGCAACACCCTCGAGTCTCTGATACTTGCGCTCTTCTCGCCCTCAAAGACCTTCTTTACCAACCCTTCCTTGATCCGCACCACCTCTACGCAGTCTTCCCGGTCCTGCTTGTTCGCCAATATCAACAGCGGTACGCCTTCTGTCTCCGAGTGCTGCAACACATCCTCCAACACCGCCCGACACTCGTCCAGCCGCCCGTTGTTCTGATCGCGCTCGATTTGGCCGTCGCCGATGTCGGTGCTGTCGATGATGAAGATGATGGCGTGGCAGGACGAGTAGTACGAGTGCCACAGGGCGCGAAGGGAGAGCTGGCCGCCGACGTCCCAGAGCTTCAGGTACATGTCGGGAAGGGTGATGGTGGAGACATTTTGGCCGACCGTAGGAACCGTTCTCAACTTGGGCTCGGGCTGGTCGGGGTGGAAGAGAGCTTTGACTTGTTCGTGAAAGGTGGTCTTTCCGGCGTTGTCGAGGCCTAGGAGGATGACGGAGTATTCTGCAGGCGAAAAAAAGGGAGAGGTTAGTGTTGTTGGTCGTTGCAACTATGGGATGAGATGGAAAGGAAAAGGGGTTAAATGGGATGGGAAGAGGAAGCTAACCCTCTTTACTGGTCGCTAATCGGTAGAGACCCTTTGCTAGGTGATACATGTTGGCAATTGTTTCCGGAAGCTGACAAGGGCGTGTGAAAAAATAAGGTAACAGATCGCAGAGCTGTATGAGCTAGGTGTTCGTAAAGAATCTCTACAATATGTACATGGAAGACTTCAAGTTCCAGGCGCAACAGCCCGGATCGGGACCGTGTCTTCCCCAGACTTGTCAAACGCGCCGGGGGGGCGATCACACAGCGTCGAGGCCCCACATACACAGGTCTCTAACGGCCTGACAGGGGCATGCCATCCCAAGTTTAGCGGCTTCGGTGGGTTTCTGGCCTGAAACGTGGACCGCTAGGGATGGATCAGCCCGATAAGATAAGAGCCCGCGGGGAGCTCTCTGTGTCGTCATAGGCCACCTAGTTTCACAGCATCAGGCCGCTTCCAGTTTCCATTCTCCCAAACCAACCCATCAGATTTTTACTTCTTCTTTGCCTCTCTCTCTCATGGCACAGTAATCAGTTAGATCATATCGGAGAACATATTTCCAGCCTTCGCCATGGCTCCCGTCGCCCTAGAATCCGAGCCAAGGTACGTTACGACTATGCGCCATCACTTAGATACGCCCAAGTGACGCCGAGGTTACGCGTTGGTGATTACAGTAGGTAAGCTAACTTGGATACTTCTGCAGGTATCTACCTTTGGTTCTGGCGGCATCGCATATAACAGTCCCTATCTATCTCACTTACATCATCGGCTTGGGCCTCTACCGATCGTATGCCCAACTGGGCCCAGCCCAAGACACGCGTGGCCGGATATCGCAACGACAAAAGCTAGTGACAGTGTTGGGCAGTTTGTCACTTCTAAGTCTAGCATCTGCCATCAAGTCCGGATTGGAGTATCTGGCCCTCTCATACAAAGTATGGGCATCCGAACGAGGCATCCCCCTTCTGCAAACCCTATCCGGTGGCTTCAGCCTCAAGAACCTCACACCCGAACATGTCGGCGCTTGGTTGAATGATACACCGCTCTACCTCGATGCTCTCGAAATCATCGCAGAAAAAGCCCGGAGATTGTGGTGGGGACAACAGCTCGACCTGGCAATGGTCTCATGGACCATGTTGCTGGTGGTTGAAGGTCGCAGGAGGAAGATCCCGTTTCTTTGGGCGTATGCACTGCTTGCGCATCTGGTAAACCTCTCTTTTGCGCAGAACTTGTTCTACGTTGCTATGCTCTTGACTCCTGTGCCCATTGGTAATACCCACATGTCGAGGTATGGTTCACGATTGGTATTTCCAACTATTCTACAGTCTGGGTAACTAATGACCATGTAGACTATCGAGGCTCCTCGCTCGTGCGTTCCCACCGAAACCAACCAACTGGTTCCCGAAGCCCGCCTTCTTCCACATCCTCCTCGTTCTCAACTATGCGGTTATGCTCTGGGCGCCCCGAACCGCAGGAACCATTCACTTTCCTACAGCCGTTGCGATTTCCAAAGCATTGTCTATTGCGCCTCTGGTTCTGCCAGCCATCATTCCCAAGTCCTGGGGAAAGATCCAAGCCGAGCCACACGACAGCTACAGTTCCTTCACAAAACTCTTCAACGTCATGTCCGTCGCCAGCCTCCTGCTACACGGCAAGACATCCATTGCCGCTCTGTGGGATAACCTCCCCGGCTCGTACAAGCACCGCCACAGCGTCCGAATCCCCTTCGACATCGAAAAGCGATCAGCATGGGAACGAAGCACAACCGCCATGGAAAAGATTCTAGGCTCAATAAATGACCACCCGGCCGTCGCAGCCGCCGGCAAGGATGTTCTCCTATGCGCCTTCAGCCTGGGTATTTGGGCGGCAGTTCGCGCCTTGGACGTAGATCACATGCTCAAGGCGGTAGCACCGTTCTACGGAAGGAAGTCGGGAAGGAAGGAACTCCCCGCTTCCAACCCAAAGGCTGTGGAAATGGGCAGCACAGAACCCTCCGAGTCGATTTCGGAAAGCGAACCCTCGCGCCCGAGCTCGTCTTCGGGCTTGACCATGAAGCTTAGGGACCGTGGCAAGCACGTTAGCTCGAAGCTTGCCGAGGCTCTTAGTGCCAATGATAACGCGGATACTAGCCCGAAGGAAGCGCCGAGGAGACGGGGGAGACCACGCAAGATCAAGCAAGAACCGACACCGGAGCGGGAGCTGGGAACCATTGACGAGGTGGCTGGTGTACCTGATGCGGTCAGTGACTCGACTTACGAGCCCACACCGGCGGTCAAGGCACAGGCTGTGGAGGGTGATGTTTTGCCGGATGATGAGTTTGATTGGGAATCGGCGGCTCTTGCGTGGGGGTTGACTGCGCTGGGAGGACTGGGTGTCGGCTCGTCGGCTGTCTATGGGGCTGAGTGCGTTTCTCGTTGAGGAGGCTGTGGGAAGAAGGAGGCTTTCTTGAGCACTGGCGTTTACGGAATGTGAACGAGGTAGTATATGAGCTTGGAGGATCCGAATATATATTCGATGTAGTTCTAATCTGAAGTGCTATCTACCTTCCTCTTATGCTTGTTATGGTCCGGTATTGCGAAGATTTGGGCTACTAGGAAGAGGGGATGAGAGAAGGTTACTGCACTGTTGAGAAAGACAAGCGCTTGAAAGGATAGGACACACCATCAACCCAAACGTGAATTGTTCCTCATAGAGACTGATCTAACCTAAGGGTATAGTGAAAGCAAAAGAAATGTCTAACAAACCAAAACTCCTTTTCGGCTACCTTGTTGGAGGAAACGCTGTCAACGAGAGCATAGCCATCCCCCGAAGACAAAAAAAGAAAGAAAGAAATAAAAAAAAAAAAAAAAAAAAAAAAAAAAAAAAAAAAAAAAAAAAAAAGCCATTCTGAGAACCCACACCTTCTGTGGGTACTATCAGACATCCTGATAACTTCAAACACACTTTTTCTCAACGCCGAACCTGCAACATGCCTTCATCCCAGAGACTACACTCTGATACCCTTTGTCCAAGGACACATGAATCCTTGCTCGACACGTAAACTTGTCGGACTGCAGTAAATCCGGAGAATGCCAGTCTGCCTTTTGTTCTTTCCCCCCACAACAAGAACTTGCTCTTGACTCCCTTCTCTGAAACTCCTCGATCCTACCCTGCTGACATACGCCCTTTCTGACAAACTTAATCCCTTCACCTCATACATAACACATAACCAAAACGGGCCCCTCCTTCCCCACCAACTTCTGATTATACACATCCATCACCACCGAGTCCCAATCGGCATCACTTTTCACATTCCGTGGGCAGCCGGCCGACAGGACATGGATGTACGGAGAAACGCTAGTTCTGCCGCAGATGGTCCCGATGGTGTTCATAATGTACGTGTAGAACCCGCTTCTCACAATGGGCGAGAGGGAGTGCTGGTACGTCACGGGCGGGCTGACGTCTTCGTTGGTCGAACGATTCTTCATGTGCACGTGGTAGGTCAGGTCGGCGTCGTCGGGGACGTCGAGGACGAAGGTTGCGACCGGGACTGGACCTGTTGTTGCTTGTTGGGCTACTTCTTTCTCGCAGCCCTTGGCGAACTCGTCGTGCGTACGCTTTCGAGTGCCGGTGAAAATCAGGTCTTCGTTGGTTTTAGGGGTAGCGGTTGAGGTCGCGGTTGGTGTGGAGATGTTGGTTGTGGGAATTGGAGTATCGGTTTGGGCAGTGCTGGTGGTTGTGATACTCGGTACGCTCGTATTGATACATACTGGGGTGGGAGCAGATGTGACGGTTTGGGTGGTGGTAGTTGTACTACCTGGTGCTGTCGTCTGAACAGGAGTTACGGTGGTGGTAGCCGTGGCAGCTATGGGAACAGGAGCGGAAATTTGAGTGGTCTCGGTTGCGATAGTTGGCACCCTCGTCTCGACAGGAGCCATGGCGGTGCTTTCCAAAACCGGTATGACGACGCCAACGGAAGCCGTACATGACCCTGGGATGGAGACTGATATAGGAGTTTCGGTAACTTTGGGTTCGCTCGTGGTCTCGATCTCCACTGGTAGAGTGTTCTCAGTGACGTTATTGGAAGGAGTCTCGATCGCAGGTGTTGTAGTCGTGTTGCCGCATATTTCTAAAGAACTCGACGCTCCAGTCTCGACACTTTCCATCACAGCTTGCAAACTGGTGCTAGAAGTTGTTGTTGCAGTCATCATTACACCTTCGGAGCATGTCTCTGACCCTTCAGAACCCGTTTCTGGCGAGGCAGTGGTTGCTTCCGGTGAAAACGCTTCCAACTCGGCAACTGGCGCGGGTGAAGATACGGATGCCTCAGAGGGTTCTGGCGAGAGCAAGGCGCTCGGGTTGTTCTTTGCCGCGTCCTTTTCCTTTTTTCGAAAGAAAACTTGTTGCTGGTAAACAATGCGATAGAGGAGCCCCATGAAGTGGACCATAATACTACCAACTCAAGTTAGCAGCTGTCCTTCACCAGGGAGGTATTTCAGGTTTTTGACAACTTACATGGTCGAGTCTCTGGGCCATATGGTTTGGCGCCTATTTCCAGGCGAAACATAGCACTCTGTCGAACCGAACCACTTTTCTCCCCAACCGGTCGTGAGCATATAATATGCGGCACCTCCCAACATAATCTTCATGCCCCTCACATCACCCTGGGTCTTGTGGTAAACAAGGCTCTGGAAAACGGAGTTCAGCACGAAGTCCTTCATCTCCTTGTTGAGCTCTTTGCCCTGCCAGTCATTGAGTTCGAGCCGTCGATACAGTATCGACAATCTTGAGTTCCGGTCTGCAAAAACATTAGCACGGGTCCAACCAAGGTTCAGGTGATTGGGGTGAGAACTTACCAAGGGTGATATAGTCCAGAAGAATCGGGAGCTGGTTCGGGTAGAGATCGATACGCCCTGTGATGGTTGCTCCTCGGTTGGTATAGCAGTGACCGTAGCGAAAACCGGGGATTTCGCTCACCCGAATGTACTGATTGTCCGCAGGAGCTGGTGGTGTGTTTTCCGGGGAACTGGCAGGAGGAGTGAGGAGGTTTGGATCATTTGCCTGTGGTAAGGCATTGACCCCGGGCAGACCAGCACAAGGCTCTTGAGCTTGTGGAGAGCTGTTATCCAGAGGAGGACTAGAGTTTGGAGCACTGTCCTGTGCAGGGATCTCGGAGTAGTTTTGCGAGATGGATTGTTGTTGAGGCTGTTGTTGAGAGCCTTCGCCCTGCTGGGGGTCTGAGACTTGGTCAACCATCCCGTTCAGTAAGAGCTCAGGTCTTTCCATCTGCGCAAGAGCAGCCTCTATATCTGCGTCGTCAAACGTGACCTCCCCCAACCAATCCAACGACTCCAACGACAGGGCGGGCTCGGGGGGTAAATCTGAAGGAGTCTGAGTACTAACCGCTGGGCCACCTGAAGTGTGTCCATCCTGAAGCGAAAAGGGACTTGCAGGCGGATCAGGGGCACTGGGCATACATTGTCCTTCCTGCTGTGCAACCAGGTCATCTTGACCGTCCGTGAAAGGCGGGGTTAGGGCCTCAAGGAGTTCGAGCTCGTCAGGTGTGAGGTCAGTGGGACATAGCGTGGGTAGGTCTTGGTCTTGGAGTTGTTGGCTTGGTTGGGGGCCGGTGGTTGTTGATGCTGATGGTTGGGGCAGCGTCAACTCGCCCGGCCCCGGCTCTGGGGCATGGTCTGAGGCATGCTGTGATGGTGGCTCCTGGTATTGGTCGTCGTCCTCTGATTCGGAAAAGAGCGAATGCAAATCATCATCAGCAGCGTCCCCAAAGAGCGAATCGAGGTCAGTGTCGACAACGTCGTTCTTGTTCTCCCTCTCGTTGTCCTCGGCGGCAAGGAACTCCTCCTCCAGGTTGGAGAAGAGGCGGTCCTGCTCAGAGTCCAGAGAGACAGAGCCCATGATTGAGATGGCAACTCTTACACATACAAGATTCTGTCGGCGACCAAGTCCAGAGTTTGCAATAAAAAGTGCAACAGGACAGTCAACCGAGGCGCGCGACCGGCCGAGTCACAGCGACAAAAGGTGCAATGTCGAGTGATTGATAGTTTGCGATCGAGTTTGCAGCAACACTCAAGCAGCAAAGTTCGAAGTCGCAGTCGCAGTCGCGGATGAAGGGCCGCAAGACTTCAGATGAAGATGAAGTCGACGTGCAGGGTCCCGTCTGGTCGAGAAAATAATGTGGAGCCCCACGTCAAGATAAGCCATTGCAACAAAGGCTTCTATCCACTGTTGCCTGCGGCGTTCACGGGACCCGCTGCGTGGACTGGAGTGGAAACTTCGTTGTTGATCACAGGCAGTGCTGGCCTTACTCTCAGCCACAGCTAACCTTTGCCAATTTTTGTTCTCCTTAGGGGGTCATTGGGCACTTAAGGCGGAAGATTGGGGATGCGACCCACTGTTGAGAGACCATTGCACAGTCCATGCTTCAAAGGCAACTCTTACTGTGGATTGTGGCTTGACTCCTTCGCCATACGTAGGTGTATACTTCACCACCACCACACATAACCCTGCGCATAGCGCTTGGATAGCTGCAGTGCACCTCCAACCCTGAGTTGTGTCTCGGGGGAGAAGAGTATGGCAGCCTCGAGACCAAATCCATTCAGTCACTAATAGTAGGTACTGATCTGGTGTATATACAAGTAGGAAAGGTTATTGTTCTATTATCTGTATCGCTATAGCGCGTCTGATCATGCGCTCCATTGCGTCACAACATCAGCCAGATAAGACTCTACTGACCGCTGAGAATATGGTGAAGCTACCGCAGTACTAAATCCAGCAAACTCACAACGCCATCCTTTGCAACTTTATCCCACCATAAATCAGACATCATGAGCTCTTGCGTGTATCATTCCACAGCTTATCCACAATCTGGAAAATCGCCGTCACGTCCCTCATAATGGCAGCATCCACGTCCCCTCCCAACCGCTGCTGCATCTTATCCGGATGCCAGCGAACTCTCTCGTCCTTCAACCTTGCCGCAAACTCTTTCTCTCCCAACTCTTCCAGACCTATCCCGTGCACAAAGAAAGCCCTAACCGTTTCTGGATCCATCTCCTCAATCTTTCCACCCACCACCTCCCTGTTGACAGGCCAAGGAATCCTCGCCACGTCAATCTTCGCACCACCTTCCGTAGCGGCAGCAGCAAAGTCCCCCCACGCCTTGAGATACTCCTCCCACCTGTCCTTCCACACCCTCCTCTTTCTTCTCTCCTCTCCCCTCTTCAAGCTCCGCTCCATCTCCTTGGCGATCCTCCGCTCCTCCTCTTCCCTCCTCCTCTCTTCCTCTTTCCTCTTTTGTCTCCGCTCCCGCTCTTCCAGCAGGCCCTGGTGCGTCTTCTCCCACATCCTCTGCCGGACATAGGCAGCGTACTCCTCGTCCGTCATCCGTTCGAGCTCGCCCTCAGGGTTGACCCGTTCCCGCGCGGATGAGTACACGTGGATTGGTTGGCCGTAGACGCCTTCCCAGTAGGCGGCTCCTTCGTCGTCTGCCATGGCGTCAAAGAGAGACTCGCGGAAAGCGGCTTCGGGATCCAGCGGGGGTTCGGCGAAGGGGTCTTCTGGATGATCAGGCAGCTCTTGTTGTGGGGTAGGTGAGCGATGGCGACGGTGCCGGCGGTGGTGGTGACGATGGCGATGTTTGCGACGGGGTTCGCTGTCCTTAGTCTCTTCATCCCTATCCCTGTCCCGGTCGCGGTCTCTGCTCCTACCTCTAGATCTCCTCCGCTCCCTTCCCCGGCCATCGCGGTCATCCTCCTCGGGGTGATGCCGGCGACTACGGTGCCGGTCTGATCTAGGAGAGCGCGATCGTGATCGTGACCGCGTCCGTGATCGTCTCCTCCTCCTCCTCCGTGATTCCCTATCCTTGTCCTTAAATCGAAACTTGGTCACCTTAGGCTTCTTCTCCCTCATCCTCCCTTCGGAGTCCTGATCCTGGTCCCCATCACCCTCCCTATCCCTTTTGCGTTCACGCACACGTTCACGCTCACCATCCCCCTCCCCACCAGTGACATCCTCCCCAACGCCGGTCATGGGATCATCGCGGTCATGGCTGGTACCCCTCTCCGTCCTGCTGCCCTTTGGAGGCTCAGCCGCTGCTGAAGTTGACCGTGACCGGCCCCTGTCCAACTCTGGATCCTGCGAGCGGTGCTTGCTCCTACTACCCCCACCAACACCCCTTGCACTGCTACCATCTAGTGCCTCAGCATCGGTTTTGGCAGGCGCAACAGGAACAGGGTTGTAAGAGGCCAAGATTCTTCGCCGTTTGGGGGATCGTGGCGGTGAGTTGAATTCGTCAAAGGACATTGGTTCTGCTGCTTTTGCTTCTCTGTCCGTTGTTGGTTCAAAGGGCGGTAGTCCTGTGGATTCTCGACCCCATGAAACTGAGGATCTCGTCCGCGGTCTGCTTGTGGTCTGTGACAACCCAGACGGGGGGTCCTTGCTCAGGGCCTCTTCAGGCGCGCACTTGCGATAAACATGTGTGAAAAGATCGCGTTAGGCTAGATAGGCTGGCCTCTCGGATTACTTTGATTCAATGCCCCGGTGCCGTATATCCGTGCGTTTTTCCGGGAGTTGATTCGGACTTTGCTGCTTTGGTGTGCTGTGCGGCGACCCAGGTGAGGAGGTGAGATGGTGAGGTTGACGCTGCAGTGTCGTCGCTGGTGGTCAGGTGTACACCACTGGGTAGTACTTAATAGGTAGAGGTAGTAATGGCAGTGTCCAAGACAGTGCACAGATCCGTAAGTTTGAAAATTACCCACTTTGGCGTCATTGCGTATCCGTAACAATACTTTGGTATCGTAGGTAACTTTCAAGTCCGTTTTTTATTCTTTTCTTGTTTTTTTTAGCGTCCCTTTTCGCACGTGGAAAGTAGTTGGGGCCCGGGTTAGGGTACAACCTGTCACTTTTCAGCGTAGCCCCCACCCTCCATCCCATCATCTCCCATGTGCTCCCAATCTCCAACTCCACACCACCAGGGCAATCAGCGCCGGGACCGCTTCCATGGCCATGGAACAGCAATAGTGTAGCCTCCTCTTCCCCCCCCCTTCCCTCCCTCCCCCTCGCTCGCTCGCTCGCTGGGTTCATGTCATGAGACGGGATTCTTTCTCCGCACGACGCGGCTGCTTCCGCTGGTGAAGAAGTTCTTTGGGCAATTCCGCACAACTTCCACTTTCACTACTGGAGTCGTATCCGATGTTCAACAGTAACAATTGATGGCGCCAATACTGTACTGGAATGAAGAATTGAACGAAGCTCGAGGCTCCTTCATTTTACGCTACGCTAGAGGGTAGTACACCGTCTCGAAACTGTGTCGAGGTACTTCTACATATGAATGGTACCTAGTATGTACTCCCTCACGACATACCACCGTGGTCAGCGTCGACAGTCCGAGACATCCATCCATCCATCCCACTCTGGACAGAAATCCTGCGAGGTCGAGAACAATCCGTCAAGACCTTGATTGGGCTTTGATGCCAATTGATGCCCAATCGTTACCTAGCATCTCCATGTTGGTCTCGGATATCGGGTCCAGGACCGTCAATCATCTCCTCCTCCTCCTCCTCCTCCTCATCATCAAGGGTGCTTGTTGTGGGCGACGGCCGGACTTTTCTCGATCGCACTCTTTCCCCAGACGGGAAGTGAGACACATCCATCGTACCATTGGTACTGATCAACCAAGGCATCAACGAGCAATTGGCAACAGAGTTGCAAAAGAAAAGCAAGTGGTTGCATATCAATCAGGACATGGGAAAAGCAGATCGTCTGCACATTGTATGTACCTCATGCACACTCTATTCAGGATGTTGCAGACGGTTACATTGCTGAGCCTTGCACCAATAGTGCGAAATGCAAACTGCAAGTTTGATATATCTACTGTCGCTATCCAGGTTCTCAGGGCAGGGTCATATTAAATGAAAGAGGAAGAAGAAAAAGAAAAGGAACGTATTGCCGGCAATATCCCGGATCTTCATGACCACTCTCATCTTTCATTTCGCGTTGGCGGACCCCATGCAGCTCGTCAAAGGGGTCTGCGAGGCAAAGTGCTTTAACAGAGGCTTTTGTGTTGAGGAGTTGCGAGGACGCGTGCTTAGCTTCCGTAGCCTTATTCAAGAGAAAAAGGCGGGACGGAGACTAGCACCGGGGCCGGACTAGGTAGGACGGGGGAGTTAACCCGCCCACTTGTGACGAGGTACATTGTACGTCAGTCGCGGCAAGATCCCGAAAACGAATGAGCTGCAGTGTGCATAAAGTAGTGTAGGGGATGGATGCATGCAAGTCTCACAAGCGCTTATCCCAACCACACCTCATTCGTGTGGGTAAACAAGCGCTTGGGGCGCGCGGAGCGCCCGCCATATAATAGAGTCTCTCGCGACGGTGATGGTGTGGAAATGAAGCCTAGGGAAGGTTTTGGTATTAGGCACGTACATTGACTGGTCCTTGAAACCCGATGTGATGAGCGAGCGAGTGCCCCATCACGACCATGTTCTTCCGGTCACCCCTCGGAAAAGCCTCACATTGTTATCACTTCGGGATACTGATGGTGATAGAAGGAGCATGTCCAAGTGCAAGTTGCATGTGTCTGGACCGATAAAAAGGTTCTTGTGTACATCACTCATTCACAAGTAAGTGTACTTGGATCACAGCTACAATGAATTGAATGGTAAGAAAACACATCTCCACCACTCCCACCATCAACACTACCACCATTGGGGCACCGCCTCATTTTCCGCCCTTTTCTTCTTCCCAGCTATGTAATATCGTTGGCTCACCGGCCCTTGTAGTAGTTAACCTTCCATCCAACAGCCCCGACGTTTTCCTTTTCTCTTCCCCCTTTCCCTGGCTGCCTAAAACCTAGCGGTAGATCATCATGCACGTAAGGAATTCAGGAGTCACCGCATGGCCTTTTCGCGGCGGGACCACCGCAGTCATCATCGGCATTTTTTTCTTTCCATTCAGCTAGCCTTGACTGGCGGTCATTTCTAGGTAGCTTCACTTCCTTGACAGCCTTGCTTCTGCAATGTGCACTGTACTGTATGTGCAACATCCTCAGCTTCCCCGTCACCAACAATCATGACCATGACCATGACCAACCAACCAACTGTGGTGTTGACTAGGGCGTAAGGCGTTAACTGGTTGGTTTCAATGCTTTTTTTTGGGGGGATGGGGGAGGGAAGGTCATCTGCACTGCCTCAAGGAAGTTGTTCTTTTGTTTCTTTACTTAACGACACAAATGGTAAAGCTTCTCTCTCTTCTGGATGGTGCTTCCAAATCATAAAGTCCTGGGTTGAACAGTGTAGGTATCAGCCACACCTAACAGTCCAAACTACACCTGAAATAAAGCCTCTGACGGCTTTCACGAAGCGTCACGATACGTGAGATGTGGTGAACAGGAAATCATCCAATCCAGTAGCCTACTATACTTCTTGAACCATCAGTAAACTGACCTCAAACACATCATCTTCTCCCTTCTATACCAAAAATTTTACCTAGATGCACCCTTAATCAGGGGCATTGACTCAGAACGGGACTTACGAACACCCCGAATAACACAATTAAATTCCCTTTCCATGCTTCTTTGCAGCCATCGACGCCTACATTTCCCGACAAGTTCCAAAAATGCTTTGCTTTTTTTTTTTTTAACGGTATTCGCAATGTCTCACTTCATTTCCCTTTTCTAACTCCTTAACGCCCAACACAACCCTAAACAAGGCAATATCAATGGTACCACTCGGACGGATTTTGGTCATGTCGAGTTCATCAAGCAAATTATCGAGCGTCTAGAAGAACTCATACAGTACCTACAGTATGTCAATTTTTGACAATGCTCATGAATGGGGCCGAGTAACACAGAAAATCTAGTTCTAGTGCTCGACAAAACGTAGTCTTCATCTCGGTAGCCCACCCATCTAGACCCCCCTCGCCCTCCACGTTTCCGTCGCCCCATCCTCATGGTTCGCTTGCAGACTCCGCTTTGAAACCTAATCTTAAAGCGGCCATGATGTCACTTTATGAGCGGGTGTCATGCCTACGCTTTGGTTTTTGATCTCGATTATCAATTTTACCAGTGTATTCCAGGGGTGCCACATGTTGTGTGAATGCCCCCTGGAGTGTGATGAGATGAAGCACTGTTACGGGACTGGATCGCTAAATGATGAAATGCGACCCGAGAGTCAGCGAGAATTCGCATTTCTAATATGGTGTATCAGGTTCGGGCTTCCGTGACCCAAAATATCTGCTGGGTTAACGTGTAAATATCACATTTCATTTCCAACCTCGCCGGAGGTTGGAAGGACGATTGCGAGGAGCTGAATGTGACGGCGAGTGTGAACATCTGATCACTCTTCAAAACTTGGATGGATTTTGCATTGGAATCCGCAATTTTCACATATCCAGGCCTCAGACAGTGCCATCATTCAAAGACATACATGCGGTAGCCCGTTATTCTGCTCAACTATTAAGCTTTATTTATCCTATTCCCAAACCGCACACTCCATCCTCGGCGTAGCTTTTGATAACAAACGCCGCCTTAGCCAATTAAAGGGTCATCTATCTCCTAGACAGTCACGAGCCCCTGACATTCCCCCCAGACGGGTTCTACCCGTAATTTGCCAGTCCCATTAAAAACAACAGAAATTATGACCCCTGTGGTCCCCCGTAAATGGAAAAAAGTCCAGATGCAATATAACGAACGGCCAAAAACACAAAGCGCCAACTCCGGACATGAAGAAAATCAAATCCCCATAAAACACCAGCCCAATGATGATGACCCTGTGTGCACACCAAATTAAGAAACCCGCGGGACATGTTCCCGTGACCACTTCCTCTCAGCCCCGTTATGGGCAGGGATATTAACAGACTAATGGAGCAGCGGAGCTGCGATATTTGAAGGCTGATTAGTAGGTTGATAAGCCGTGGTTGTAGAAGGATTAGGTGCGTAAGCGAACGGTAGGTAGCGGTAAGGACCAGCCGTATGACGCTCGAACGTAAGCTTGGTTCAGGAGGTAACAGTTATAAAGAAGAAAAAAAAAAAAAGAAAAAAAAAAGTGATGATGAATGTGAAACAAGGAGCGACGTATAATCAACATGACAAATGGAATTTTGATACAAAACGAAGGTAGTAAGACACAAAGTCTAAGAAAAGAAGCACGCTCTCATCAAGGAAAAAGCCATTGCCGGTTGCCCGGGCTCGCTTTCAGATAACTCTAGATCAGGGGAGAAGACAAAAGAAAGATGCAAAAATAGAGAGCGTAATGTTGTGTGGTTGGGCCGAGATCACTCGTTAAGCGGCGGGTCGGTTGGAATGCGGCTCATGCCTCCATTGCTCAACTGGCCTTCGTAGGCTGTCAGTATGACCATGAGACCCCTGCAACGGATGTCTATGGGTACCTTCGAGGGGGCCTCTTTGGCTAATAGCCCATCCTATCTCTGGCCTAGGAGCGGGCGCAGGAGGATAGGGCTGATAGGCACCGCCTGATGGGCTTTGCGAAGTCAAGGGGACAGCATGCGGTCCATTAGATGCAGGGGGCGGGGTTGAGGTCGATTGAGGCTGATCAAGTCCCCGAAGAGGGGGTAATCTTGGAGGAGGAAGATGAGGTGACTGAGCCAGTCCGAAGGCTGATTGGGGCATGGTCATGGGAGCGGGCGTGTTATATGCGTAAGCTCCAGTAGTGGGCGACGGCTCTGTATCAGTCCTTCTCCGTCTTCTGGGCCTCTCGAGTGTCAAGGACTCGTCGTATGGAGATGAATGGGTGTTGTCGGGATGCGACCGGGTGCGTGAATGAGTATAAGTGTTTGAAAGCTGGTGTGACTGCGGGGGTTGAGATTGCGGCTGCGGTGGAGGTAGCGGTCCCGCACGGGGGCTGTTCTCGACCGAAAACGAGGGTACGCTTGGAGGCGACGATACAGGAGTCGGTTGTGCTGGATCCGCCAGCTTGCTGAATTCAGGAATGCCAGCCACAATCTTCCTCAAACGTTCTGCCTCGCTACGAAAGTAATCGCGCTCGGTGGTCAAATCCTGCATCTTCTTGGCCCACTCCCGGCTCTCAACCTCCAGTCTCTGCAAATCCCTCTCCCTGTTCCGCTCAATCTCCCTCTTACGCTGTCTAAACCGCGCAGAGGCTCCCGCGTTTCGCTGTCGCTTTGCATCCGCCTGTCTCGAGCCTTGGTGGATATCTACTGGGACCAGAATTTCTTCGCCAACAGATGGTGTAATGGTAATCATATGCTGTCGACCATCAACCGCAAGCCTGCTTCGGTCCTGAAGCAGATAAGCGGCGGTCAACCCGCCTGATACAGGTCCAGTAGTCGTGGTTGGAGGACTGGGGAAGGACGGGTGAGAAACAGGTCTTCCGGCAAGATCCCGAGTAAGAGAGCCGGATTGTAGCGGCCCTGCTGTTACAGGCGGCGGAAGTCTTTGACCCAGAAGCGGCTGGGATGACGGAGCAACCATTCCAGTAGTCGGTTGCGCAGGCGGCGGAGGTAAAGAAGCCCCCTGTCCGTGTAGCGAGTCGGAAAATGGGCGAGGACCTGGGAAACTTGGGGGGCCACTGAGTGGTGAAGTGTTGTGAGATGGCGTTGGGGTTCTTTGAACATGGGATGGCATGCCTGGGAGCTGTTGGCCTTCCATGGGTCTTGTTGTCCCGCGGCCCATGCTTGATGGTCTTGGGGACCTCGGGGTTAACATCCTCCTCGACATGGCCATCGAAAAGGGATGGTTGGTGATAGGAGATTCGTTTTCGGAAGCCGGAGGAGGCACCATGGAGGATGCGGCAGGAACTGGAGTAGTAGTTCGCGACCCGGGCATACTTTGCGTCTGATAACCATAAAAGCGAGATGGCGAGCCATCAGCTGGGTACTGGCCCATTCTCATGGTTGCCTGTGGGCTACCCCTTTGGACAGAAGGCAACGGGAGAGATGGGGCGGGTGTAGGAAGACGCTCCTGGGGTTCCGAAGGGTTCAGAATGTTGTGCACACCGGAAGTTTTCGATCCTGTTTGAGTGTGGTTTCCGTCGACGTTGGCCATTGAGGTGTTGCTTAGGTTACGACGATGCTGATGACTCGGTCCATCTTGACCAAAGGCTCGGTAGGACGGCGACGGGGAGTGAACGTCACGCGACGATGTGAGCGCGGAAAGGTGAGGTGTAGGACCCCTCTGTGACATTGCCTGTTCCCCTTCGCTTCTTTGATCTTCAGCACCATGATACTGGCGACCGTTGTCGCCGTTGGAACCCTGTGAAGCGAGTATGAACCCGGAGCTGACACCTGGTAAGCCGTTGTGTCCAATAGTCGTGCTCGAAGACCCAAAGCTGTAGGCGATGGAAGAGATGGAGTCTGAAGAGTCCGCGCCGAGCCACCTCCGGGGAGGCTCTTGGGGACGGGAAAGAGCTTGGATCGCCAGCTTGACGGATTTAACGGTGGTACTGTATAGAATGGTTTATTAATTCACCTTTGTTGGGGAAGAGAGTGTTGCTAGCGGCTGGTGCGACGGATGAGTGAGTCTTTATGCTGCAAAAGAGCGTGGCACCCGACTCGGAAGTACTGCCAGCTCCACGTTCGAATAGCGAGGACGGTATCGGTTCCGGACTGCAGTAGCGGCAAACGCACACAGAGGATGAACTGCAAGATGTCGGGTACGTGTTCGAGGCCCGTACAACCAACGTGTCAGCTAAGTTGTCAAGCTTTAGAGACAAAGCTGGCGTAGAGACAAGAGCCAAAGAGACTAGCAGCGGGTGGAGGCGAGCGGGGACTACTTCGACAGGAGGGTAGTCCGGCGGATAGCTCGAGGGGCCCCTAGCGGAGTAGAGAAAAAAATGACAGGCGTAGACCAGCAGTCCCGGTGGGTAATCGATGCAAGAGTAGTTGCGGTGACAAGGTGGGATGGTATGCAGGTTTCTGGACCACTCAACGTCGTCAGGAGGAGACTCGCCCGCTGAATGGTCCTGGAGACCACGTAGCGCTAGAGGTTCGCCGTTTAGGTGGGCGTAGGTCAAGACGAAGCCTCCTTTCAGATTCCCAAATTTTGCTAGCTTCTTGGGATAGTCTGTTTGCCTCTGGTGGAATGCTCGCTGGCTTCACGAGTAGTCGGGATGTCGTAACGGTGGTGAAGCAAGAATCGGTTCAGATTGAGGCAAAATCGCGCTTCAAGGTCCCCGCCAGCGGGACAGACTATATAGATCTGATTGGACCACTGTTGCTCTACTTCAAGAGCAGAGGCCGTGGATAAGGGAGCATAGGTCGTCCCACGAGACAAGCCACTGCCCTTGAGTTGACGTGTGAGTTCCAAGGGTACCTCAGTTCCGCGGACCACAGTGATCAGCATGTCCCGGAGCCTGTAATTGTCCACCCATGCTTCTGTTGTTCAACGCTTTCTATTCAAGTTGCTGTTTATCTGCTGGGTGGTCGTGCTAGAACTGGTACGTAGTGTGTTCCGATGGGTGGACAAGTCAACACGGGGACAATGGCGGAATCGTAGTGTACACAGTACCATAGTAGTCAGCAGGCAGTGAGTGGATAGGTAGCTGCTGGGGTACGGCAACGCAGAGGAAAAGCAGGGGTTGTAAGAGCCATGTCAGTTTGAAGTGATGGTCGCTTGGTAGGTATGTGCTAAGTCTTGACAGGGCTGTTGTCAACGATCCTCCTGGGGAAACTGACAGACTCAATGTTACCTAGCACTTCCGGTTGGCGTATTTCCATTTTCGCTCAGATGATCTTGCCCGGATTTCCACTTCCCTTTTTGTTGGCCGTTTTTTTTCGCAAAGAGTCCACCCTGTGGGTAGCATGGGTATGTCGGCCTGGAGGTGGATGGATCAATGAGGGCTAACCGGACACTGTTTCGTGATTCCACCACGATAATAGCGTACATGTGGTGAGGTCCATGAGGCCCAAAAGCTCACAGACATCCACACAGCACGACCAAGACCCTCTTGGCGTGACCGAGCATACACGGCCCAAGCGACTGGGTTGGTAGTGGATCGCTCGCATCAGCGGCAAATGCTAGTCCTGAACGCCCGTGACGGTACTGTGCCTAGGCGACTAGTCTAAAATGGCAACTTGCGTTCATTGCTGACGATGGGTCGTCCGCAAAGCAGTCGAGGTGAGCATTGGTATGGCTTTTGAAGAAATTTCTGGATTGGCTATAAACGCGCACCGTGCCGTTTCTAGGATGACCGAGAGGCTGAGATTCCCGGTATCACTCATGTTAGGTGTGGCAGACATTATATGTGAGACAATAAGAGAACTGGCGACGTCGTATTGGTATTGCCGTGTATCAAAAATACAACAGCCCGAGGGTCCTTGGAGTTGCGGCATCTCGCGTGAGCGAAAGGGTTCCGTGTGAACAGTCAAGCAATTTCCGTGCACGCAGTCAAAAAAAACCAGTCCATGGCGCATACTGTGTACGTATGTCGCGATCCCGAAGGTTATCACGGGTGGAGAGAACGGCAGCGATGATGCGCATAATAAACCATAGCGATCCACACAGAGATTTACCACTGGTGAGAACCCAGCAAGCTTCCCGGGGAAAAGCAGGTGCTCGTCCCTTACACCCTGCTTCATGTGCGTGACTGAGGCGGACGATGCGATATGACGATCCTATTCCAGACAGAGAACTTTGTGCTTATGATTTCACTTGGCCTCCTTGGCCTCTTGGGTATTTCACCCCGACTCTGGCTCGCCACGAGATGTTCCCGAGATCCAAAGATATCAAAAGACCCGCCATCTGTAAGCGGGCAAAGTGCAAAGCCCACGGAGAAAAAAGAGGTTCGCATGACCCACCGCCTACATGTTGTACGGCGTAGTCAGGTTTTGCGCGCAGAATGTTGTCGTTGAGTGGCTCCGGTGGACTCGACAAAGTCGCGGCGGCTGCATGGACCAATCTGGGGTCGGCGGGCAGCTTGTTTTATAGGGAATCTTCACCAAGGAGAGATGAAGAAGGGATTACACGACAGGGCGGAGCTGATGGTGTTGAGCATGCCGGCTGACGGGAGGTGATCAACAGACGACTGAGCCTCGGAGGTATCTCTCCAGGAGAATGATGTGAGGTGATGTTGCATGGCAACAGACGGGTGCGTGCTGCGTATCCTGATGCCAGTCATGTCCAGTTGCAGCGGCTGATGCCATCCCGAACAAATTACGGGCCTGTATCTTTATTAACTTGATCCCGGCAAGCCACCAAACCCAAAATAAACGCGAAAATGTCGTTCGCCAGAGTGGTCAAATAAGGCACGAGATCGTGGGCGCACCGCCTGAGGTTTTGGAGTTGTAGGGTCGGGTAGGCGTGTCACTCTGCCTGTCCGGTATGTATATATGTACGGGGCCGGGGCCTAGGTAGCGTAGCAGCCCGCGTAGCTTCAAAGGCTGTCATGGTGATGTGGCTACCAGATCGGGTTCTGTGGAGTGCCTTGAGTGGTCAGTTTGGCTCGATTGTTGCGACACTCCATCTTCCAAAATGGTCCTTACAAAGCGGCCGTTCTTGGCATCTGGGCTGTCTGACACCTCAGTACAGTGAAGCTGCACTGGGAGGGGGGGGAGGTCGAATGCACGATACATTCATTTGTTAGATGGCCAACCATCCAGTGTCGGATCTCTCAGCCAAGCAGGTCAAGTAAAGGTGAAGAAGCTTGACCTCCATTTTGCAGATGCTGTCGCCAAGCTGCTGGTTGGAGGCCAATGGAGATCTCGAGCTGGGTGGTGAATAAGTGGAAATGGACAGGTGCAAATTGTGGAAAGTGTGCCAAGCCCACAAAGTCCAATATTGCAGTGTGGAAGGGCTGGGGCTGCCTTGCCCTGAACGCTATGCCGTCCACGAATGCTCGTCGTAGATGAGGCCGAGATAAGTGTAGTATAAGGGGCATCCTCCGTCGTGCCTGCCAATGCCAGAACCGACCTCCAAGAAGGTACCGTAAGTAGTACATAGGTAGGTAGCAATGGGTGTTGTCAGTTTTGGGGGATGCCCCTTGCTTCTGTCTGTCCTTGCACGGGCAGTGGGGACCTTGGCTGGGCGTTTAGAACTTTCATGAACACCTCCGCAGCACCGCACCTTCTTCGTTGCATCCGTCTCTGTTCCGAACCCAGAGAGTGCTTCAGTTCCGATGTTTAGCTACGGCCTCAGTATCGAATCCAAACAAACAACTCGCCAACTGAACGTGCCTCGAGGTGACGCCTGAACTTGCGTTGACACGCCTCCTACATCCAACAACTGCCAGGTAATCCAGATGTTGGGTTGTCTTGCAGATATCAAACTCCTCTGGTTGGGCTGCTACCGTACCATGGCTGACTCTGTTGGGGATTGTCAATTCGAAATTGTACCTCCACATCCATACAGTACTCAACGGCAGGTACATGACGGCATCTGTGTCTTGAGCGGCCATGGTTGGTTGCGAAATACGTTGACTGCAACCCTCCGTCAGGATCAGTGGCGTACACTGCTGGTAGCGTAGCAAATTGGACATATCCCGTGCTCAAATTGACTTTGGCCTTGCTCCTTGTACATCTAAAATGAGGCTTCTGCTGGTTTCCTAGGTTCTGCGGCCCAACATGCAACCTCGTTCACACTGGACAATGCTTCAGATATGGTGTGGTGCCCTGGCTCAGCCGGGCGAGCCTGGGTAGGAGGTGTACCGTGTAAACATTCCTTTTGATATCGTGTTGTTGGCGTCAGGGACGGATGAAGGGAAGGACAGCGTTGATGGAGCTGCTCAGTCAACTCGGTTTTCGGTGACTTTCGAAACGCACAGACTGGTTCGTTGCTCTTCATGCCTCTGCCCGTTTCAACGTCGGATAGTTGCTGAGAGCTGGGTCGCGCACTTGTTCAGTGTGACCAGATGAGGTGATTCCTCCAGAATCCCATCCAGGTCGGCGTATCGATATTTGGTCCAATACAACATATTCCCGCGTGGTTACTGGCCCAAAGACGAGATTGTCAAATTTGGATCCGTTCTCCTGGGTTCCGCATTCCCCTTGCGATCACTCCATCGTTCTGAGTAGGAAGCACGGGCAGGCCCAGCCCTTCACAACTAAATTGCGACGCCGGCGGCTCTGACGTCTTGCGAATCCGAAATTACGGCATCTGTTGCCGAGTCGAGTCTCTGGGGCGAACGGGACGTTGAAGGATATCGGTTTCAAATAACGCGGGATGTCCAATGTCGAGAGTGCCAGAGGAAACAGATGGCAGCTGTATCGATACAAGGCCACGCCCGACGACTTCGTCGCCATTTCTCCCTTGACGGGAACTTGTCAAGAGCTGAAGGTGAAGCGGGAACGTGCTGCAGCTTACAAGCATGGCATATGTACAGATCCCCGCATTCTGACTTCCCTTAGGTACTACATACTTTAAGTAGCCTGCGTCTATGTCGGGGCTTTCATTGGTGTACGGGCCCTGTCAGGTCTGACACGGTACAGCGGAACCCCTAGTGATTGCAAACCCCGGGAAACGCAAATCTACACAGAGTTACTTGGTAAATGCAAGTGTTCTGGCAGCCCAGACTCACCAACCTGTACGTGCCCCTGACTAAGACCCTGACAAATTCAAAATAATGGTACATGCAATATTTTTCGAGACTACCTACAGGTATGTAGAAAGCCCAAATTAGTTGCATTTACTAGAATCTGTACTGTACTACTTGCACGGTCAACCTAGTTAGTACCTGGCATGGCGACACAGTGACGACATGGAATTCAGTCAGCAACTTGACTTATTTGCACTATTGCCCATGGCGAAAGTTGGTGGTGCCGTCATTTGCGAATATCTCGAATCAACTTAGCGAAACACTTGGTATCTTTAAAATTTGCCGATTCATGACATCAACGACGGATGGAAACGAAGGACAACGATGAGTCTGCTGTTGCTCAATACCTTGCCCCATCTCTTCCCCAGAAGCAAAAGAGCCTAGGGCTGGCGCGTTTTCCGATTCGACAATGGGCTTTTGACCGCCTTTCCAGGTCCATCTACCGCCATTGACGCTATTTCCACCCGGAAGCACCAAGCCGGCAGAGGCTCCCGTGGGGCTTTCGGAGGGAGAAAGGTAAGAGGATTTCTATGTGCTCCTATGACACTTCATATTTGCCCCTTCAAGTTCGAACTGCGGCTAGGCACCAGCAAGTCGGCGACAACAGTCCGAAGGTGAGTGCGCACGAGAAGTACTGGCCACTAATGCCTTACTTGTCCTCAAGACCACTCAGATTGCCCACACAAATTCATGATGAAACCATGTTTGCTTGTTGAATGCCCACGCCTCGGTCACGACTAACCTTCTCTTTTCCCCAATGCGATCGATACCAGAAATCAATAACGTATACGAGCTGTTCCAACTGAAAGACTTTGCGCTAGGGGATCAAGGACAAGGGAAGACATTATGGTAAAGGCCAGGACCATCGGGCCTTACCCGCATCTGCCTTACTCGTTGGGCCTATCGAAGCCCTAGAAGCTGACCGGGGCATATAGTGCATGCAGCGGCGGTCGATCATGTGTTACTGTCTTGGGGACCAGGGCTCCTCAACGGTCGATGAACCTGTCTATCCTGCGTCTAGCAATGACGGGAGTTTTAACTGTATCAAATGCATAGGCGAACAGAGGCCCCCTGCCGTGATGCTTCTTATGTACCGACAAACATCAAGGCAGGCCACACCATGAATGAAGAATGAAGGATATGTCTCTTCCGCCATCTAGGGTGAAGAGTAGTGTCTGGACGCTGGACTAACTCTACGCTGTGAGTCATTTACCATGAACAGCTCAGAAGGCCGTTTTGGTAACCCTAAATGTGCAGGGCGAGCTACATCAAGACATGTTATTGTACGAATTCGAGTGTCTTGACCTGGATGTCGCATTACGTACGTTACCGTAACATTTGTCATAAACTGACTGATGTCTGTGTTGGCTGTAACGCTGAAACGACAGGACCACTGGAGCTGGATGGACACGCGACAACACTTTCCGATTCGAAGATACCTTAGTGGTCGGCTTCCTCGATCTGGATGAGGCTTTCACGTTTTGAATGTCGGGGATTGGCAATTGGAATCGAGGCACCAGGGTTGTTCAGGATCATGATGCTTCATGGCCGACATCCGATTGCTCAACGGCCGCCCTGACATGCAGTATGGGCTCGTTTGGGAAATGCCTTAAGTGTGCGTTTGGAAGTGACTTATCGCGAGATTCAACATGTGCATGAGTATTGCAGCCAATAGGTGAGCCACCTGATCTCTTGTTGTTCCTCGCTTCAGTTTATAAAACCTTGACTTTATTTTGTCTCCGAGCATGGATTGATTGGATCGATGGGCCTCGAGCGCTGCAAGCGCTACCATCTCATTCAGGCTGCCAACAAACTAATTGGAAGTCGCTGTCTCTGGACGAAGGAGCATCTGAGGTGTTTCCTTTCTCCTGCCATGGCCTACGGGTAGCTGCCGCAACGCCAAGGCACTATATACACCTCCTTTGCGAGTGGCAGCAATGTCTGGTGCCATCAAGGTACCTCACATTGGATCACTTACTTGTAGGTGCACTAGCGTCGTACAGGTAGTACACTACACATCAGTCCTTAAAAGTTTGTTAGCCTCCTACATGCCCCACATCTTCTTGTAGGGGGGTAACAGGGTGGTTGCAAGGCCGGACACGACTATTTACGCGATTTGATTGGCCGAAACTACCTACGTTCAAGGAGAGAAAGAGTTAGCCGAAGAAATCTAAACACCCGAACACAAACCTCTCAACCAGTATAATCGGGCACCCACCACCCAAGGCCTCCCTCCCATCTTCTATGGTTGGTAAAGTTACAAGGCATTTATAGGTCCCCTGCTTACGACCCTCGTAAGTACCACGCTAACGAACTTACCAGGGCTGATGTGTATAAGCTACGGGTACCTGTCCACGACCGGCAGCGGACAGGAACCAGCCAATCTTCAACCTTTCCACTTTCGGCACCCACCGACAACACCATGGACTGCACTCCAGCACTCCTTTGGCAGCGCAACCGACGGCATCGTAACAGCCGATCCAACCGACGTGACACCAGCGCAGTGCGCGCGTGGTTTCATTACAACCTTTCTGCCTCTGGACCGAGACACACGCAGCCCTCGACAGCCGCAGCGCGCAATTTTGGCGGCCGGCTCGCTCGCGTGTATACGGATGCCAGGCCCGATTTCCGGAAGCCGGGACGCCTGATAAGGGATCTGGTGCGGAGGGGGCCCGTTGAATGGCAGTCTATGATGGTCCCCCTCAGTGCTGCTCCGCATTGCGGCGACCCACTCGATGGACGTCGACAACGTCAGAACTATTGGCAACAAACACCTTGGCCTCTACATACTATTGTGTATAAAAGACCTACACAAACTCCGGCTGAAGCTGGAACTGGAGAGAGAACCAAACCGTCGCCTCATCTGCAAGCACGACGACGTGCATGAACAAGAGTTTGATCAGCCTGCATCCGCAGACTCTGTAACGCAAGTACGCATGTAGGTTGAGTTGTATTGTACAAAACCCACACACACCGCTCCTTTGCGGCCGACTCTCTCCATCGAGCGAGCCATGTCGGCCATCCTGACTGACATCCTGAGCCATCGACACATCCCCGGCTCTCCAAACCGCCCGGCGAGACTTCCGGTAGACACGCGCGCTGACAAGTGAGTGACAGACACCAAGCCAAACGCCCACTTAGTACGGTGTAGCTGCCGTGCCATAGCCTCCGGCTGCAACTTGCTCGTGTCCGGCAACCAGTCATCGTCAACGCCAGTCGCCCCGACAGCTCCAGCGAGCAGATTCTGGTCAAGCACATGCTGCACTAGTCCCGCCTGCTTCGTCACCGCATCCGCTCAACTGGGTCTCAACTGGGTCTCAATACGGAACTTCCGCCTCCTCTGGACTTGCCTCTTCTTCCGCCCAACAGGCATCACCATCCTTTCCTAGGAGTTGCCTGCATCACCCACCGCACTACCGTCTCAGGTTCCCAACCACCGCCAAGACTTCTCTCGGAACTTAGTCAAACTACGCGACCATGGCCGACCAGAACCAAGTACAGCAGTGGCACGTTACTGAGCCGTATCTGGATTTGCACTGCCAGCTTGGAGAGGGTCCCTACTTCGAAAAGGGCACCCAGACGTTGCGCTTTGTCGACATCAAGCAAAAGCGGCTGCACACCGTCTTGATCACGGAAGGGCCAGATTCGCTCAAGACCCTCCAGCTCGATTCCCCGATTGGTGTCACGGCCAACATCCAGGGTCAGGATCCGCAGGAAAAGATTCTAGTGGCCCTCAAGTATGGCATTGCCCTCCTCGACCGAAAGACGGGTCAGTATGACTACTTGACCCGCATTGGCGGCGAGCCCGACAGAATGAGATCCAATGACGGTGCCGTTGATCCACATGGTCGTTTCTGGCTTGGCACCATGAATGACTTTCACGTTGGTGAGCCGCAATCCGAAGGTGAGTGAGAGAGGGGGAAAAAAAAAAAAAAAAAAAAAAAAGAGTTCAAAAGTCCCTCTTCTGTTCGATCAGCCAGTATCTCCTTCCCACGTGGCAGCCTAAAGGTCCAATTCGGCAATCGACCCTGGGTCTGTCAAGGGGTGATATGTGGAACATCCCGGACGCTCGATGTGACGCGCTTGTGCTGTCAATGGAGCCCATTGTGGAGGATGCGGGTCTCTTGGACCTGTTATGCACAACACAACAGCAGAGCAACAGCAACAGTGACAGCCGTACATCAAAATTGGGCCGTCATGACACGATTTCTTGTTATTTTTATTCTGTCCCGAAGTATTGTGGATTCTGACATGTCATTTGCTTGGATATAGGATCCCTCTACCGATTCGACCTCGGAAAGTCCAGGGAAGAGGTCGAGTCAGGCTTGATCATCCCCAACAGCATTGGCTGGTCTCCGGATGGGAAGACCATGTACTTCACTCACACGCCTGAGAACACCATTTTTGCGTGGGACTACAACCCCGAGGACGGCAGCCTCTCCAACAAGCGCGTTCACTACAAGCACAAGGAGAAGGGTCACTTGGACGGGTTCAGGGTCGATAAGGATGGTAATATCTGGCACGCCCTGTACGATGGCGGTTCCGTCATCAAGATTTCCCCGGCTGGGGACATCCTAGGCCGAATCATCCTGCCGACCAACAACATCACCTGCGTTGAATTTGTGGGTACCGAGCTGTTCATCACCAGCGCCGCGGACGAGGACAGCGAGGAGGGGACCCCGAGCAGGAAGTATGGCGGTGGCCTGTTTAGGGTCGATGTCGGCACTACCGGATTGGACCACACCGAGTTTAAACTTGAGTAAAGTTGATGGTACACCACAAAATGACATATGCATGATTTGCATACACACAGTGTATCTGGTCTATCCCGTCCGCATGTCTCACTCGGGGGTTCAAGAGAGAGATTCGAGGACAGTATGAATGTATATTCAAACCTCCAGCTGTTCACGGACCTGTCTGGTCCTCAGTCAACAGACTAACTTAGTGAAAGCCGATGGACGGCGATATCCAGAGCTTTGCATTGATGTCTCAGATCTCTCTCTCTTTCTCTTTCACTCTCTCTCCCGGATGTCTCAAGCGTCTCAGTTTTGTTCGTCGCTTCGGTTCGTTTTGTGCCCCACCGTGGGAGGTCTAGGACTGCGGAGTATGGCCCAGGAGTAGTGTAAACAACCTAAAAGTCCTGAACAAAAGGGTCCTTGATCTACATGCATGGCAGGCAGGTGCCTACTACACTAGTAAAACAGCCACACCAGCCTCCCCCTATCCTGAAACACCAGTGAACCAAACTACGGAGGACATGTGGGAGAAACGCAGTAGGCGCAGTAGGTAAACTGGATCAACCATTAGGAATTCATCTCGCCTCTACCTAGTCGTGCTAGCAGTCTCTAGCGGGACACTTGTTTCCAATGGGCAATAGGCAAGAGATCCCATCATCGGGTCAAACGCCCAAACCTCCGTTCGTTGTTCGGCGGGACGGCTCGTTCGATTTGTATGCACGGTGTCGGAGACCCGGTGGGTAACATATGTGCTGATGCTGGGTCAGGTGTCCTTCTTCTTTGAGGAACAAGGAGTTTGTGAACCCTGATGGACAGGCTGGACTGATAGACCGACTGAAGATGGATGGAGGATGGCCAAGGACACTACGCCAGAGATATGCTCACCTACGGTACACACAGTACATATGATTCCTTTACGAACGGAATGTCGTCAGCTGATGCCTACCTGTCTTGTCTTGAAAGGGGAGGGAGGGAGTTGG